GAAGGAGAGACATTTTCTTCATTTGGAGTAGCCACTGGTAAGTTGCTCGTGTTTCTGTAACTCATTGGAGGAGAGGGAGGGGGAGAGGGAGGAGGAAGAAGAGAATATTGATGGTGACGGTGAAGGTGTTGGGATAGGAGGCAGTCAGGCCCACAGTGGCAAGCTTCAGAACACTAGAAAGGTCCAGAGAGGGGCAAGTGTGCACCACCTCTGCCTCCAGGGCCACCCAGGCTTGCCTTGGCCATAAGTGGCAGAGAAGCCTGACTTTCTCTTCTTATAGTACTCTGCCTTTTGCAACAGCCTCCCATGCTGGTTTTGCCCCTTGTTTCAGTCCTTCTGCCTCTACCACCTCTGCCCTGTTCCCACTGTAACCCCTGAGAAGGCAAGCCAGAACTTGCCAGCCCCTCATCATGCTCTTTGTTGACTCCCCATGTTGAGAAGGCTGCTCGTCAGGAGCTAGATTGGTCTCCACTTAAAATTTTTAATTGTTCTAGCAGGCGACTAACAGATCCATATGCACATCTGGTCCCTATTGAAGAGCTAGGGATGACCTGGTTTTCAGGGTACCCAGGGTGGAAGAGGGAATGTTCACATTCATAGTTACAGGTCACAGAGTATATCATGCCTCCAAAGTACTCAGAAAGCCAAGATCAGAAAGTACATCCAGAGCATGCCATTGAGGCCAAGGGTCTGGAGGCAGAAGAAGGAGTAGAGAGCCTGTGCCAAAGTGGTTGGAGACCTAGGAGACATAGCCAGGGGCCGAGAGCCGAGGGTAGAGATCAGGGCTGCTGGCTATTCTTAGGCTACTGAGTCATGCTGATGACACAGGTGAGCTGTTGAATCTCTTAAGGACCTGATGGCCCTCTGTTGTGTGCTCTGTGCTCTTACATGCATTTTCCTCTTCTGCTTTTACTGCCCCCATTCATCCTTTAATACCTAGTTTGTGCACCAACTCTCCAAAAGTCTTCCTTGGCCTTCCTCACCCCTCTATGCTGGTCCCACTACCTCTGTACTATTGAATAGGATGTGCCTTAGACCTCACTGGTCACCTGTGTCTCTCGTTAGTGTGGCGTCTCTGGATACAGGAAGTTTGACTTCACTCTTTCCCCAGAACCCAGGACAGGGTGTGGATCTAGTGAGTAAAGTTCTGTAAAGTTCTCAAACTCAGTGGGAGCAGAATGGAGAATGGGGAAGAGGGGCACTCCAGGAGGGTCCAATGTGTTCTGCAAGACTAGTGGTCCTCATAGAAACAGTTATCATACAGCCCTGATATCCCCCACTTTAACAAATCTAATAATGTGGTGAACTGAAAAGTCAAATAATTGCTTTCCTCTTTTTTCTGTTTTCGTGCGTGTGTGTGCGCGCGCGCGTGCGCGTGCGTGCACACGTGCATGTGGTGTGCATTTTGTGTGCATACTTGCATGTATGTGGACACACATGTTTGGATGCATGTGTATGTGTGTTCACATACATGTGGGGAATTGAGGTTCATGGGCATTAATTTCAATCATTCTTGCACCTTATTCATTGAGGCAGGGTCCTCAATCAAACCCAGACCCTGCTGATATGGGAGTCTCATTAGCCAGCTTGCTTTGAGGATCCCGTGGCTCTGCCTTCCAAGGGTGGAATTGCAGGTGAGCCACTATGCCCACCTGGCATTTACATGGCTTCTGGGATCTGAACTCTGGTCCTCACACTTGTTTGAAAAGTCATTAACCACTGAACCATCTCTCCAGCCCAATAATTTCCTTGTATTACAGAGTGAAAGTTAAGTTTGGGCTGGGAACAGAACCAAGGTTTTGGGGAGCCAGAACAGTGGAAAAACAGATTCCTTGTCGTTTTGAATGCCTGTGTTGTTTCTCCTCCAGCTCGTGAGCAAGCCGGGGATGTTCTGAGGGCAAAAGGCTGAGTGAATTAATATAGCACTGAACTGTGGAAGGCTTCTTGGATTCCCCCTCTGTCTTCTAATTAGACCTTCCAGAATCCAGGCCTGACAAGTGTTCAGATGAGCCTGGGTGTGCAGTGTCAATGTCTGACCAGCTTTAACAACTCTTAGTTTCTAATTTTTAGGAAAAGGCAATCTCCATTCTATTGACCTGTGGAAGAATTCTGCTGCTTCTTTAAATGTCAGGAAAAGACACAGGTGAAATGTTTAGCTTATGGCAAACACACACATAATCCCCCAAGCCAAGCCAGAACGTCTCCCCTACCTACACATAATTTCATCCCGCCTGTTCACAAATCTGTTTCTCTCTGAGTGTTTTATTCCTTTCTGTCTCAACTTCACTTAAGAAGGTATCTTGGCTTAGGGTGTGAACATATGGTGACCCAAAATAAATGAGGACACTCAACTCTGCATCCCTCCTTTTGAAGAAAACCAGTGTCACAGTGAAGCAAGCCTAGACTATGGAGGCGGGAAGGTGGGGGGTAGGGGGAAAGCAGGGAACAGTCTTGGCATTCCCTCTCAGTATTCGTGTAGTCTTGGGCAAGAACTTATGTTCTTCCTGCTCCAACTTCCCCATGTGTTAAATGGGGCTAAACATCCTTGTGACACAGCAGTAACATGTGTGAAGCACCAATGACGTTTTTGTTCTGGTTAGTACTGTGCCATTGCCCTAAAGATAATCCCATTAGAATCCAAAAGATTGGGGGTATCTGGTTTGCAGTTTGACTTCCTATTCCCTTTAGTTGTTTGTCCCAGCAATGAATTGCTAGGTTCCTCATCCTCTACTCGGCCCTCAGAGTTCCTGAATTCTAGCCAAGCTTGGCCATGAACTGACTTTGTGTCCTTATACAAGTCACATGACTTTTTATTACTCATTTCCCCACCTGGACTTGAAGGTATCAGCCCTGCCCCTTCCAGCTCCACTCCTGTGGTTTGTGCCCCAGGTGTCCTTGGCAAGGGGAGGTCAGACCAAGGGACTGTAAGGGGCTGAGCCCCAATGCTGAGGCCTCCCTGGTGCTCTGGCTAATCTTTGACCTGAAGCCAGGAGCAGAGCAGAAACACCAGCTGTGCTGCCAGCAGGTGCCTGTTAGGATTTTTCCCTTTTAAGTGAATCCAGGAAGCCTTCATTTCCTGGTAGAGTTCTGGATTAACTCTGGGGGTCTTACTTTCTTTCCTGTCAGGGTGTGTAGGGGCTGGATTCCTGTGGGAAGGGAAGGTCCATCCATGGGTCAGGTCAGTTGCAGGCTTAACAACTAGGGCCAGAAAGTCACTAAGCAAGTACACACATGCACACACATACAATATGCTCCCCCACGGGTATACACACAGACACACAGAGACATGCGTATGTGCATATGCACACACGTATGCACATACATGCCCTCTGGGTGTGTACCCTACCTGCCTTTATGCAGAGTGACCTTACACCAATTAGGGCGCCCTGGTGGCTGTGGCCCCCAGGAGCTCTTAAGGACAGATTGCTCTCATGGTAGCTGTTGCCATTGGAAGGGTAACATGAGAACATCTGCTGGTCCTACCCTGGGCAACTGGAGAAGAAACATAAAGAACAGGCCCAGGAGGCTTTGGTTAACTGGATCATTAACAGCTGTAGGACAGACCCTGCCTGGATATGTGAGACCAGCCCTCCACATCCACAGGTTGCAAAAAAATATCTTAATATATTCCTTCTTGGGGAGGACAAGGGAGAAGAGGCTCAGAGATGACGTCAGCATTGTTAG